AGGAGTTTTTATTGCCTGGTGCCCTTCCCTAAAAGAGCCATTTTACATGAACAAACAGATAAGAATGATTTGTGGTGAACATATCAGGTGTAAATGGATTTTCAAGGTGCTAGAAAATTTATTCTCTTTAGTAGTTTAAATACTTTCCCCGAAATCCTGTTGACACCGTTCCTCTGCTGATAAGTTTTCTGATAGCAAAAACAGTGAATTTCATCAGAGTCTTCCTATAAATTTCCAATGAACAAATTCCAACTTAGTGACGTCTGCCCACCTCCAACATTGCCCCTGGAGGTCTCTGGGTGAGTGGTGAATTGAGGAATCCCAGATCCTGTCCACACCCTGGTGATTAGGATAAAATGCAGGACAAGGTTTCACTATTTAACATTTGCTGAGGCCTTAGAAGAGCGCTGGTGGCGCAGTGGTTAAGAGCTCGGCTGCTAACCAAAAGGTCAGCAGTTCGAATCCAGCAGCAGCCCCTTGGAAACCCTAAGGGGCACTTCTACTCTGTCCTATAGGGTCACTACGAGTCAGAATTGACTTGATGGCAACAAATTTGGTTTTTGTTTTTTGAGGCCTTAGAAAGGAGTTCCTGGGTGGTGCAAATGGTTAACACGCTTGGCTGCTAACTGAAAGGTTAGAGGTTCAAGTTGACCCACAGACACCTCAGAGGAAAGGCCTGGCAATCTAATTCCAAAAAATTAGCCATTGAAAACCCTATGATGCACATTTCTACTCTGACACACACAGGGTTGCCATGATTTGGAGCTGACTCAATGGTACCTGGTACTGGGAGGCTTTAAAAGGTTTGGTGTTTTGCCAGATCAAGTGGATTAGATGTGATATTTCTAAAGAAGCCTTGGGATAAAACATACATTACTCTGCCCCAAGAGTTTGTATTTTCTTTCTTTCTTTTTTTTTTTTTTTAATTGTGCTTTAGGTAAAAATTTACAGCTCAAGTTAGTTTCTCATACAAAAATGTATACACACGTTGTTATGTGACCCTAGTTGCTATCCCTATAATGTGACCACACATTCCTCCTTTCCACCTCAGATTTCACATGTCCATTCAAACAGCTCCTATTCCTTTCTGCCTTCTCATCTCGCCTCCAGACAGGAGCTGCGTGTTTAGTCTCATGTATCTACTTGAAGTAAGAAGCATGCTCTCACAAGTATCATTTTATGTCTTATAGTCCAGTCTATTCTTTGTCTGAAGAGTTGGCTTCAGGAATGGTTTTAGTTCTGGGTT